CCCCCCCCCGTGGGCACCGGGGGGCGGGGAGAGCCCCGATCCCGCTCGGCCCCGGGCAGCCCCCAGAGGAGGGGGGGCACCTCGCGGGGGGGGGGGGCACCGCGGGGACCCCCTGCCCAGGGCGAGAGGGGAACGCCGCCGCCGATCGCCGATGATGGAGGAATTCCGTCTCCATGGCGACCCGGCGGGAACAGCGCGGCCATTGTCTGTGCCCGGGGACGGTCCCTGAGCCGCCCTCGTGTGCCCCCCCACCCCCCCCAAGCGGGGTCCGGGCCCGGCGGGCGGATCTGCCCGGACAGCGGGCGGGGAGCGGGGGCTGCGGGGCAGGGAGGGAGCCGGGATGCGGGAAGCGATGCGGGAGGGATGCGCGCGGCGCCGGTGACAGCAGCCCCAGAGCCCCCGGCGTCTCCGAGCGCAGCAGTGCGGGGCGGGCTCCCGCCGGTCGAGCCGGCTCCGGCTGTCGCGATAGGCTCTGTCGCGATAGCAGCGGGAGCGAGGCACTCACCTACAGCCGGGGCCGGGGCTCCATCGCCGCCGCTGCGTTCGGTGCGGTTCGGGCGGCCCCGGGATTTATGAATGAACCGGAGCCGCCCCCGCGCGGTGCGGGCGTCACGTGGGGACGGGGCTGCCCCGAGCCCGCCTGCACCGGGGCCGCCCGCACCGGACCGGCCCGCACCCCGGCGCCGCCCGCACCCCGACCCCGCATGGCCGCGCCCCCCACCGGCCCTGCCCGTCCCGCAGCCCCGCTCTCACCCGGCCCCGAGCTCCGCGCCGCCCCCGCCCGCCCCGCAGCGCCGCCCCCACCCGCAGCCCGGGCCGGGCACGGAGCCGACCCTACAGTAAACACAGCGGGTAAACAACCGGGCGGGACGCGAAACTACGGTTCCCAGGCTCCCTCGCGGCCTGGATGACGTCACTTCCGGCGCCGCGCGCTGCCCCTCGGGTCACGTAGTCCTTGGCGCAGTGCACGCCGGTATCTGTAGTCCCGCCGCCCTCCGTCCGCTCGCCCTTCGCCGCCGCCGCCCGCCATGATCCGCGCCCGCCAGCTCCTCCGCCTCGCGGCGCTGCCGCCGCCCCGCGCCCGCTCCTACGCCGATGCTGCGGCCGGGCCCGCGGCCATGGCCTTCACCTTCGCCTCCCCCACGCAGGTACGAGTCGTCCGCCTTGTGGGACGGCACCGTGCGGCTCCGCTGCCACCGGCGTGGCCGCACCGAGGTCTCTCCGCGCCCTTTTCCCAGCCCGGTGTTCCGCTGTTCCCTTCCGACCCAAACCCCTCCGTGACCCCATGAGCCCCTCCGTGCTGTGACCTTCCATTCCCCCCCCCGCCCCCATTCAGTGACCCCGTGCTGCTCGCGCCGCCCCGCGGCTGCTCACCCCCCTCCCCCCCATAGGTGTTCTACAACGGTGCCAACGTGAAGCAGGTGGACGTGCCCACCCTGACCGGCTCCTTCGGCATCCTGGCCTCCCACGTCCCCACGCTGCAGGTCCTGAAGCCAGGAGTGGTGACGGTGTACGGAGAGGACGGCACGGCCACCAAATACTTCGGTGCGAGGGGAGGGCGGAATGGGGAGGGCATCCCCGGGCCCCTCGGGTGGAGCTCAGCCATGGGGTCAGCTCTGCTGCAGCTCTGCTGCCCTCCCTGCTGAGTGCTGGATTCCCTGCGGGAGAAGGGATGCGCCGTGGGGCTGTGTTTGAGGATGAGGTTTTGTACAGATGTTCCTCTGCTGCACCTTTGCTTTGTTTGCTGCGAGGCTGAAGGATGCTGTGGTTCGTGTTATGGGTGAAGTTTGAGGGCTGGTTTTGTCTGAGGAGCCATGAGGCTCCCATGCTGACCCCCACAGCAGTGCCTGACCCGCTGCCATTCCTCACAGTGAGCAGCGGCTCCGTCACGGTCAATGCAGACTCCACGGTGCAGGTGCTGGCGGAGGAGGCGGTGACGATGGACATGCTGGATCTGGCTGTAAGTACTGCACAGCAGCTTGGGCCGGCCTGACAGCCAGGCTCCTGCATGGAGGGCTCTGTGCCCCACTCCTCTGTGTGGGGTTGCTGTCTCGGGGCCTTCCTGTGGCTGCACAGCATCTGCCAGGACCCGACTCCTCATCATCACCCACTGCTTGGGATCAAAGGCTGCTCCTCCTCGACAACTGCATAGAGAGGAAGCCCTGTGGTCACTTCCCCTTCCCCAGGCTCCATCCCTGCCCTTGGATAGATGTGGTCCTGCCCCTCCCCACCCTTCTTCACCCCCAGGAGCAGCATTCCCACAGCAGGGCCTGCCTGCAGCGGGGCAGCCCAGCATGTGAACACACAGCCTGTGTGGGGCTGACTGCAGTGGAGGAGAGGGGGAGATTGAGGCCCCGTGTCCTGCTCTGGTCTCTCAGTGACCCGTTTCTTGTGCTCTCACGTTCAGACTGCAAAATCAAACCTGGAGAAGGCCGTTTCAGAGATGGCTGCAGCCTCCGACGAAGCTGCTAAAGCCGAAGCCCAGATTAAAGTGGAAGCCAACGAGGCTCTCGTCAAAGCTTTGGAGTAACAGGGGTAAGCATCCCCGCATCCCAACCGGCGAGCACAGGGCCGTCCCGGGGCCGCTAGGTGGCAGCCGCAGCATTGGCAGCCCGGGGCCGGGCCAGGCACAGCCCACGGTCACGAGTGGGGCCCCGCTGGGACGGGCAGCCCGGGGCTGGCCATGGAGCAGGCTGCATTCCTGGGGCCCCGCAGGGAGCGGTGCGGCCTCTGCTCTGTGAACACTCCCTTCCACTGCAAACAAACAGCTTCTGTCTCGGGGGAGGTGAGGCGAGGCTGCTTACCTCGTGGCCCATTTTCTCTGTGCCCTGCTAAGACCGTGCCTCATCCCTTTTCTTCCCACGTGTTGGCAGTTGGGAGGCTCTCTGTGCAGCGCTGTGCTGTGCCTGGCAGGTGAGTCACTGCGGCTCAGCTGGCCTCTCCCTGGAGCAGGTACGGCAGGGCAGCGCTCCTCTGCTATCTCCTGATCTCTGGTCTCGCCGCCCTTTGGCCCTTGAGGTCAGGTTTTGAGGGGGCACCCAGTGGTTCTCGTTTCCTCGCAGCGAGGCTGAGCCCTCAGATCAGGATCCACTGCTCTGCTGAGCCCACCCTGCGTTCACACCGACTCCGCCTCTGTGTGTTGCAGGAATCCCACTGACGCTCTAGAAAAACCCCAGGCTGTCCTACTTGTTCTGGCTTTCCCGTTTGTACAGATGGTGTGGGACAAATGGAGGCGGAGAAACTGCTCTGATCAATTAAAAGGAAATGCAGTCCTGTCTTGTGGCGTGTCACCTTCTTCCGAGGCAGCACACGCAGCTGGGAGTGGGGCAGGGTCTGCAGGGTGCAGTGTTACCTCCAGGTCTGTTCTCGGGTGCTGCTGGGGGTTCCTGGGGGAGGTTCACCCCAGGCTCAGCAGGCAGATTTGATGGCTCTGTCCTCCCTGCCTCTAGTAATTCACCAGGATTGTGGCAGCACAGGAGGAGGAATCTGCAGGGCAGTGCAGGTCCATACTGGAGGCTTCCTGTCCCAGCTCCCCTGGCCCTCCCCCAGCTTTGCTCAGCCTCCAGACTCCATTGCTGCAGGAGCCACACCGGGCCTGTTGTTTCTGCACAGTCCTTCCTGCAGCTGGACAGCAGCTGCCCAGCTCTGACCCTTCTCCCTGCTGCTATGGGCTGTCACCACTTCCCCTGCGTGTGTGGCATGCAGAGCAGGGGGAAATCTCCCTCTGCTCCATGGAGACAGGCTCGGTGCGAGAGGGAAGCAGCTGCTGGGGGTGGCGGGAGCCTCTCTTCAGTCGGTGCAGTGCTGGGGGTGCTTGGTGGTGCTCCACCAAAGCTGCCCTCACTTTGGGGCTGTGCTGGTGCCGGTGCCCCCTCACCGGGGCAGCCCCGGTGTCCCCTGTGTTGGGCAGGAGCTGCTTCCTGGCACAGCAC